AGTTTATTGAAATCCATTTTTAATCAGGCTATTTGTTGTATCCCCTTGGATACATGAGTTTATTGAAATCCATTTTTAATCAGGCTATTTGTTGTTGAATTGTAGGAGTTATAGTCTCAATATTAATTTCTTGTTAGATATGACATGCAAATATTATCTCCCATTCTATGGGTTGCTTTTCATTCTATTAATAATATTCTTTGATACACAGAAATTTTAATTCATCTGGGTTATCTATTTTGCCTTTGTTGCTCAAGCTTTTGAAGTCATATCCAATAAACAATTGACAAATCCAGTATCAAGATTTCTTCCTGTTTTCTTCTAAGAATTTTTCAGTTTTAACTCTCATATTTGGGTTTCTATTCATTTTGAGTTAATTTTTGTATATGGTGGGTAAAGATCAAAATGCATTATTTTTCATGTTCATATCCAGTTTTTCCAACACCATGTGTTGAAAAGAATATCCTTTCTCCATTGAGTAGTCTAAATATCCTTATTGAAAATCATTCTACATGCATTATGAGAGTTTATGTCTGGATTCTCCAGACTGTATATTTTAAGGTGCTATGCTGCTTTGATTGCAGTAACTTTAGTAAGTTGTAAAAATAAGCACTCATTGTATATTGTCTTATTCTACCTTCACAAAACCTTAAAAAGTATTTTTTTCTATTTTAAAGATGTAGAAATTAAGACTAAAAATAAGTAATTTTCCCAAGGCCAAAACTATAAAGTGGTAGATTCTAGAATTTAATCCAGAAATTCTGATCCTAAATTTTATCTTTATCATCTTCTGTAAATTGTAGGATAGTACTTAGCTCTATATCTAGAGCAAACTCTCTTTGAAATGGCCATGATAAACATAGCTTTGTGAAAGAAGCAACCAGGTGATTCTTCGATATATATCTAGTCCTTTTATTCTTAGATATATTTCAAGTCTAATTATTGTTACATATAATAATATTTCTAAAAGTTAAATTTGTTTTAACTTAATATTATTTTTTCCTCTTATTTATTTGTAATTGCCAAATTAAAAAAAATACTTCTGTTGTACAACATGATGTTTTAAAATACTTATGTGGAGAGTTAAATCAAGTTAATCAGCATTGCATATGCTTTGAAATATAGTCCTCCTTTGGTACCCAAGGGGTATGGGTTCAGGGACTCCTGGTGGACAACAAAATCCATGAACGTTCAAGCCTCTTAAATAAAATGGCATTTATTCGAAAATAACCTGAATGGGACATCATCTCTTTTACTTACAATACCCACACATGCAAATGCTATGTAAGTAGTTGTATTATTTAGGAAAGGATGACAAGAATACAGACTATATATGTTCAGCACAGAGACATTTTTTTCTCTTTAGAATATTTTCTCTTTTTATTATTTTTACATACATGACAATAGTGGAGTGCGTTACATTCATAATTACCCATTCACAGAACAGTTTTTTGTAACTATGTATATAAAGTATGTTCACACGAAATTATGCCATCTTTTCAATCTGCAGTTAGAAAAATCTACAGTCAGTTGAGTCCACATGAATGGAATCCAGAGATTCAGAAGGCCAATTGTAAGTCTGTGGAATGGTTATATCAAATTAATTAACATATGAATTATTTTATCTACCTACCACTTATTTTCGATGAAAACACTTAAATCTACTATGTCAGCAATTTACAGTTATACAAAACATTGTTAACTATAGTCATTGTGTTGGACAGTAGTTCTCCCCTAAAAATTATTCTTATTTAATTGAAACTTTGTATCCTTTGACTAGCAATCTCTACTATTGCCAACTTCCCATATCTCCATACCCCTTAACAGTAACCAATCTATTATTTTCTTTCTATGAGTTCAACTTCTTCAGGTTTCATAAAATAGAAATCATTTGATTTTTATCTTTCTGTGTCTGGCTTATTTCACTTAACATAATGTCCTCTGGATTCATCCATACTGTCACAAATGACATATTTCTTTCTTTTTAAAAGCTGAATAGTATTTCATTGTTTATAATAACATATTTTCCAGCAATCCCACTACTGGATATATATTCAAAGGAAATAAGATCAGTATGTCAAAGAAGAATCTGTACCCCCATGTTCATTATAGCAATATTCAAAATAGCTAACATATACAATCAACCTAGGTATCTATCAAAGGATGACTGTATAATGAAAGTAAATTTACATCTTGGAAATTTCTTAGTCAGATGATCCCATACTTATTTTTTTATTTAAATAACAATTATTTCTAATGCCTTTTGAAAGGAGAGCTATGTTTTCCCCTTTTCTTTAATTAGCAACACCTAGAAACTTATATTGGTGCCTTCTGCTTTTAAGTATTATTAGATAAGAATTCTTTGAGTTGCAGGTAATGGTTCACATGACTGAGAGCATTTGTTAAGAAGCATTCTTCTCATATAAGATTGGCTGCAGATTGGCACTTGTTGGCACTGGCCAAGGGTCAGTGAGGTCAGAGACATAGGCACTGTGTATAGTTGCCCTGCCTTCCTTTCATGGTTGAAGATGACTACAGAAGCTTGAGCACTAGGTCCTCATGCAGATGATATCTGACACAAGAAATGAACATCACATAGTCATCAGCCCTCAGTTTGGATGTCCTTCAGTTATGCCTCCCAGCATCCTAAGCACCCCTGCAAGTTTCTCTATTTCTTCATACTTTCCTAAGTGAGTAATTTCAATGAGAACTATTTAAGAAATATTTTGAGAAGCTGTAATAGCAAAATTTAATCAAAAGATAAAACTAGAATTTGGAGTCTCTTCCTTATAATTGTCTCTATTAAGAGTAAGAATAGCATTTTAATTCCTGATATTTTTCTAAAAAATGACTATGAAAAATTTTACACATACTCAGAAGTTATGTCCCACAACCCTTCCATATTCTCATCACCTAATTTAATAGTTATCAAGAAGATATTGCAGCCATTTCTTTATTTATTCCTAGTTTCCTTGTCATTTTTCTTTTCTGCTAAATAAAACAAACCCCAGACATCATCTTATAATTTTTTTTACATTTTCTTATATAATCAGACTGCCATTGCTAAACCTAAAAATTATTCCCTGTAACTTTAAACACCTTCTTGTGCCACTCACCTCTGAGAAAGTTTGTTCTATTTTTCCAATCCTTTGAATGTGGGTTGAGACACTGATGATAATAGTAAATATCACTCTGCTAGCTCCAAGCCTAGATTTTTTTCCTCTCTTACTGCATTTCTTTTCTTTTTTCTTATTTTATTAAGATATAATAGACAAATAAGAATGGTATTATGGCATGCAACATAATGTTTTCATAAATATACATTGTGATTTGAATCGATTAAGTTAATTAACATCCATCACTTCACAAACATATTTTCTGTGGTGACAACCCTTAAGATTCAATATCTTAGTGCTTTTTAAAATATACAATATAGTTATTAGTACGTATAGTCTTCATGTGGTAGAATAGATCTCCAAAACCTATCACAAAGTGTCATCTAAGCCGAGCTTTTCAGAAGATTGCCAGCATCCATTTCCTCCTTCTTGAAACCCGCTGCCATATTATGAGGAAGCCCAAGCAGCATATGAAGAGATTCACATGAA